ATAGGGAGTATCGGCGTCGGCCAGCCAGCAGCTCATATATACCGTACCGGCGCACACGGATTGTAGTAGTCGATTGCAGCCTCAGAGACCCCTCACAGTTATGCTTGCCATTGAAATCGCCATCTGGATCATTTTTATCCAACTCTTCATCCAGATTGTGAAGTGCTTCCTCGGGTTGTTAGCTCTTCTACGCGAACTCGACAATGCTGCAGCAGAATTACTAGTGCTCGGACAACACTGTTCCTGTACTTGCCACAACACGACTCGGTCTGCAACTCATCAGCTCCCGGCAGTGAGGAGACGTGGACGGAGACGACGGCCACGCAGACACCGGCGACGTCGCGCAATGCGAGAACAAGGAGACCCGCGCCTAGCCGAGATGGTTGTGCCTCGCTGGAGCGGTGCTGGTCAACTACAACCAGCCAGTGAGGGAAATCTGTGCAGAACCGGGCCTGCTCCTCCGGGACACCTGGCGTCAGCTGAGCTCGTGACGGGCCGCTTCGCCTGCCGCTTTCCAGAGCCACGCAACACAGTGCAGGAGCAGGGAGATCCAAATCCCTCTGAACTGGTCTAAAAGAAATGCTGTAAACTACCAAGACTTTATGCACGGTCCAAATACTCAGCGAATGTGTAAGGCTATGCTTTTTTTATAATAATGTTTGAATTCGCTAGCCTAGTTCCCAGCAAGATATGTTTTCCACGTAAAGGTATTATAGACATTGAGGCTGTCGAGTTGTAACATTTTCTGCATTAGTATAATATAGACTCTGAGGATGCAACAAACTAAAGGCAGCCTAGCTACCAACCTGTGAATGAGCTGAACGTATAGCAGCAGCAATACGGTATAAGCATGTAGGGTGGAAATAATCAGTACATGCAGAAGCATGCATGTATTTACTGCTACATAGCTACCTCTTCTCCCCACAAACCAATACGATACAACAAGATGGCTTTCAATTGCATGTGACATGTGACACCTTAATGAGCACAGAGTCCTAATTAGTTTTTGCAACAAACTGCGAGTCACTTGAGTGCAGGGTCGGTCCAGCGAGTCTGTGCATAGTCATCAATCATCTGACAGAAGCTGATGTAGTTGACGTCGTTTCTTCCTCCAACTCTCACATCAAACTTGCGGTAGAGGATTTGAAACTCCATGGCATTCACCAGTCCACCCATCTCCAGCTCACTCAGAACTCGGTGGAACTGCCAGCAACAAGTTGCAGTGTTAGACAATCATAAACACCATTGTTGTCGACAATGACTTTTGACTCAATGAAACCTATTCAGATCAATGAAACTTTATTCACCTGTGAGCGAGTCACACTGCCAATGTGGACTCTATCGTAGTCTTCAAAGAGAGGGAATATCTGAATACGACGTACCCGTACCTGCAGTTTGGTAGACAAATCATTGCACTACACTAACTGTGTAACATTGTTGTTGGCCATAATGTACAACGTCCATTTAGGGGCCTTGTTCAAAGACATTAGTACAATTGCAAGAGGAAGTATACAACAGCCTCGGGAACAATAACTCAATTGAAGCACTGGTCATTGTCCATCTTATGTAGGTATGTATAGTTCCTCATACCCTCTCTGCCAGTCTGTGCATGGTCTTCTGCAGTGTCTGCTCTTCCTCTGGACTCAGAACATACATGTTGACCCCGACCGGCGGCACAAACTGAACCACCTCCGCAGTGGGCGTCTTCTCCAGGTCCTTCCTGGTGAAGACCGACTCTATCTCGTCAGAGAACCTCATGTACTCCACTTGGCTAGGGTCCTTGGGTGATTGGTACCTGAAACAGTTGGCAAATTGACTCTGCTCATAATCACTCTTTGCAGCGTACACATGCAGATGTGTGAACAAATTGTATTATAGAGCAGCTCGTGCCCACATGTAACAGACACTTTCTCGAGAGCAGTGACTTCTTCTTGTCCGAAGCCGAAGCCACACAAGTCCAGAGCTTGGCGGAAGGAGGTTGCAGGGATACGACCGGAGCGAAGTTTGTCATAGTCCCTCATGAACTCCAGCACACGCACTCGTTCCTTCATTACCTGACAAATGATTATGAGCTCATGAATATGGTTTTCTTTCCTTTTTTATTTACTTTTGTCTTGATTTTGTCCAGGACAGATTCAGCATCGACCTTCACAATTACAGCAGCAGCACCAGGTGTTGTCTACATAAAGATAGTGTAAAAGAGCATTTAGGATAAAATTGCAAGGTGCATTCGAGGTATCAACACAAAGGTCTTGCCACTCTGTGTAGCAACATTTTGTACACATTCACTTGTGTGTGTCTGGTAGAGAGCTGGGAAATTCTGGTCTGGTACTTGTCTTCCAGTCTCTCTGTCGGCTGTAGATGCTCCAAGAATTGAAGGTAGTTTACTCCCTTACTGTCTCCATACCTATAGGTGCAGTGGTAAGCACTATAAAAACATCTGTGTGTGTATATGTACAAGCACCATCCACGTGCTTATAAACACAACTACGTTACTCACCTCTTTTCCATAAGTTGCATCTCCTGGTCGCTGCCAGCCAGTCCAAGATAGGAAAGACACTGTCTAAATTGACTGCATGTCACATATCCATTGTGGTGCCTACAGTGGACACATGATATCAAATCATGTTACAGCAATTGGGTCTGCCTATATACTTGTCAAAGTCCTGGAAGCAAGGTTTGGTGAGCACCCTCCTCTGTTGGACTCTCTCACTCATCCTATGTAGTGCCTTCTCCAATACCTCACCCTCACCTTCTCCTACACAATACACACACAAGTTCAAGTTGCATACAGTAGTGTGTGTAAGCTTACCTATGGTGGTAGAAAAGTCTACTGCTCCTGGATGAGGTAATGGGACTTCATCTGTGGGCACTGTGTAGTAATGCAACCCACATGCGTACTAGTAATCAACCGGGTTGTCGATGCACCACCTTGATCAATGTCAGAGACGAATTTCTACAGAGGACGTTGCTTGGTGTGTCGGCGTCCGCATAGCGACTACACAGCCCGGAGAACTGTCCATCAGTCAGTGAAGGCTGGCGTAAGCGACTAAGACCCTAATAAAGGAAGTTTCACGCATGAACATGCTTATCGTTGCATGCTGTATGCTGTTGCTCACTCACTTGTCTGAAGCGTGAGGCAGCGATTGAGCCACTTCGCAGTGGGTCATGAGCCGGAAGAAACTCTGAGCCTCTGATCACGCATTGACCTCACGTATTCTCTGAGACGATGAGAGGATGAGAGGAGGTCCACTGGCTCAAGAGAGAGGGTAGCAGATAGCCAACTGCTGCAGAGGGCTGTGACAGGGCACAAGGGACATGCAACCATACACAACTAGTGTCTGAAGAAAGAGTGGGTAGCCCTTGTGCATTGTCCTTGGACAGGTCAACTTTGACATTTCACTCATGCTGTAGGTGGAGGAGGGAGGCCAAGCAGAGAGCTGTCTCCGCCGTCTACCATTATGCTACAGCCAATGGACATCAGCACTCAACATCCCGTTACTTACTACTGATGACTACCTCGTTCACTGTCAGTAGTGTGTTATTGGAACACACTTGTGAGCCACCCTGTATAACATGTATGCATGGTATAGTACACAAAATGAGATTATTTAGTTATGCTGTGTCCATCTAGGAGAGAAATGCGATTTGTTGTCCATCTAGTAGAGAACTGCGTCGGTACGAGTTTCGTGAAAACTGAAATGCGTCACGTAGAACGTTCTGTCAGTAAAGAGATTTGCTAGCACTAGTGCTATAATACAGACTAGGATTTTTCGCTAGTAAGAGCACAAACAAACGTCCCCCTATTAGGCGTAAAATCACCACATCTGAACATAGTCTTGTGTAGCCATGATCCAAAAGAGAGAGGGTCTGGTCTCTCTCCGTTTACGTGAGGGGTGTGGCTACGCAGTTATGTAATGTTTTACTAACACAGTTAGTAGTGTGGAGGAAGTGGTGACATGATCTGGGCAAAACTATTGTAGTGCAGACTATAATAATCCTAAAATGCTGAGTTGTGTCGTGTCAAAGTTGCCACACACACACACTCTTTTTCTGTATATAGGGGTGAGCCAGTCTGCCAGTAAGCCTCCTGACAGCAGCAGCCGTCCTGGCTTTAGAATGGAAATCGCGCATCGAAATTCACTACATTTTTCTGCATGCAGCTGAATGAATAACGCACACAGGAAGTGTTTACTCTATGCCATTACACAGGAACACTATCTTAGAAAAAGCATCTCTTATGCCTTACTATATAGAGGCAAAGTTCTCGGGAGTGTCCTGCTGTGAGCTGCCAAACAAAGCTGGTTCTTCAGCTGTTGCCACACGAATGTAGTTCCTCTTTGTTGCTCTGTACTTACTGCATGAGAGAGAGAAATATACTGTTACCCAACCTCAAACCATGCGAAGGTGTAACGTACTGGAACGACTAAAGGTGGCAAGAGATCCATTACATTCATTACTCATTCAAATAATGAATGTAACTAGCTACTAACTGTGGTTAGTAATTTTTGGAAGGTGAGGTTCCCTAGTTCTATACTAAATTCACAGTGTGACGGTGATAAACAGAGCCAGGAATACTAGTGCCATCAGACAGGCCACTCCCAGTAGAGCACCAACTGCAGCCAACGGACCCTTCGACCTTCTCACTCACAGTTTGACCTGCAGTTGAAACAGACACATGATCTGACTATTATATCAGCATTCAAAGGGTGAGAAGAATGATAGAGATGAGGAGACAATAATTATTTGTAGTTCCGAACCTGGGATTATATTAGGGTCAGGAAGTCCTCGGTAGTATAGTGGTAAGTATCTCCGCCTGTCACGCGGAAGACCCGGGTTCGATTCCCGGCCGGGGAGTCCTTTTTTCTGTGTTAAGTTTTTTTTCTGTTTTACTCTTTTCCACTGCAACTGTATACAAAATATTTATAGTTCGTTTTTTGTTTTCAGCTGATACCAATTTCTGAAGGGACCAAGAATGCTCGTGGTAACCGTGGAGAGGCATTATACGACCTCCTGTTTCCGGGGTTACTGCGTCCCTTGGGTTCAGACTTGTTCCTCGTTCGTCCGACTAAAAGTGGGCGTGGCACATCCACGGTGAAGTCGAGGGAGTATGTGCCAGAACCAGGTGCTGACTTCACTATTGATAATGGGGTAAGGATGTATACATTGGTCAACCATTATACTACATGGCATTGTCCATGAATTTCAATTGGAATAGTGAATGTGGAATGCACACGTGCTTGCTCCAATGAATAATGAAAATCTCCACTCCAATGAATACTTCTTACATACCTAGTGCATGTAATGAATTTTGTATAAAACCTTTTACCTATCCACCGTTTTGTGTCCTATGAAAGCCAATAGAAGTTACTTGGTGCATATGCTTACAATTCAGACCTAGAAGGAATATTGTATACATAGCTGTGTCCTGTTTTACCTGCTTAATATACGGAAATTGCTAACTGCAGGTGATGACCCTAACGTTCAGTGGAGCAACTGGACGACTGATGATGATGGAAAACAAAGTCAGCAAAGTCTCTGCGAAAGTGGACCAGAACTTCCTGTTACTCTTACTACAACTACTTACTAATCAGGGAAAATGTGCCAGAGCCCATGCAAAGCGGCAGCTTATACAACCCCTACACTGGAAGAAGAGAAATATTTGCATCATAACACAAAAGCCACTCATATGGATAATTGCTATAGAGCGTTCAGTACATTGGTCATACTATAAGAGAATGGCATACATACCTGTCCAGATGCTATCCACACTACCAACTTGTGCTTATAAACTCTTACTATAATATACAACTCGCACAACTAGCAAGAAAAAGTGCACTTATATACAACCCCTACCCCGGAAGCAGTTAGAGAAATATTTCTGTCATAACATAAAAGCCACTCATATGGATAAATATCCCATGGCTTTAGAAGGTATACCGGGAATATACCCGAGGTGCCAATAGCTACAGAGCGCTCAGTACATTGGTCATACTATAAGAGAATATTCATCCTCTAGTAAGACGGTGGATAGTTTCTATGGCATACATACCTGTCCAGATGGGGGTTCCACAGCTACCTCGGATGATGTAGAGGTGTCTTGATCTGAAAACCAACACACACAAATGTTAGTAAGTAATGCATACCCATGTCTTAGTGTTGTGGTGCATTTGCAATATCTACACACACAAATCCCCATAGGAAGCATGATGTGGATTGCTGGAGCGTTTCATTACGTCTGATATTTCAATCAGAGTGACACACACAATCAAAAATGAATTTTTCGGAAACATGCTCTTTGAATTGTAATTATGCGGGGCACAGTTTAACTTGTTCACACAGAAGAGGTGGTAGGAAATAGTATTACACCGCAGGGCAGGAAATTAAGCATTTGTGTAATTTGTGCATACATGTGACTTCAATTCAGACAATTCCCCATCCCTTCTCCCTCTCTCTCTCTCTCCTGTTTCACTCTTTTCTCTCTCACTTGCCTCTTCACTTCCTTCACCGCTCGTCTCCCTCCCCCAGGGATGGGTTGGGTAAAGAGATCATCAGCAGGTTCACTACTGACCTCAACACAAAGTCAAAGTTTTACACTGACTCCAACGGTCGTCAGATGTTGGAGAGAGTGTAGGTTCATCAGTTCTTGTAATGCAAGGCAACTGCCAAGTCAGTGGCAAAAGTCTATTCCATACTAGCTCAGTATATAGGCATTGTTTTAAGTCTGCAGAGTTACACTCCATTATGTGACACAGAAACCTGTAACTTTATGCATGGTCTTGCAATTGAAGCTGGGCAGATTGTATTACCAGTAGTTAACCAATGATGAAACTCTCTTATTTTCCTTCGTCCCTGCAATCAGGACTAGAAAACTTGTGTATACATACTGTATATACAACGTCCCTTTTATGATGTTGTCGTTCCTGTCCAGTCGAAATTACCGACCAACGTGGAAGTACAATAACACAGAGCCAGTCACCGGCAACTACTACCCCGTGGACAGCCGCATCTTCATCAAGGTAGACTGGCTATATGATGATTTCACATTCGTAACGCACAATGTACTATGAGATCTGGTATACTTATCTGTAGGATGAGGATCGTGGGGTTCAATTCACGGTCATGAATGACAGAGCTCAGGGTGGGTCTTCCCTCAACGATGGACAACTGGAGCTCATGGTAGGATGCCCCTCTCTCTCTTTTGTCTCTCTCTCTTCTTCTCCTCCTATACTCCCCTTACTCCTTCTTTCTCCTCTTACTTTCTTTCTTCCCTTCCTTTCAATATTCTTCTCCTCTCCACCTTTTTAGTAAAGGAGAAGCAGACAAACACTTTTAGTTTTTCTTCCTTCTTCTTTCTTCTCTTCCTCTGTAATGCTAACCTCTGATTTTTCATTGTCTTTTCTCCTCCCCCAGGTCCATCGTAGGACTCTCTACGATGATTCCCGAGGCGTGGGAGAGCCACTGAACGAGACAGGTCAGACCGGAGAAGGTCTGATCATCACTGGCGTCCACGTTGCCATTCTCGACAACTTCGTCAATTCTACCATCTACCACAGAATTATAGGTGAACAATATTCTCCATAATAATAATGCAGGAAACTTGCGAGGTTCATAAAACTTTCATAAATTTCATGAGCAATCAGTGAAAAAATTGTGGGTTGGTATCGGATGGCAAAAATGTTTCTGAACATTCCCATACACAGACTGATGAACGTTTTCTACTTAAATGCTATAATTATCAATGCAGCAAAAATGTTGCGCAATCAAGTATTACTTTCTACATAACATCTCATCCATATGCACACACCCTGGCAAATAGCACCATACAGTAAAATTGTTAGGAGGCTGACCTACATACGTAATGCTGCAATACAGACCGGTAGAATTGATGACCAGTTAGGAGGCTAATTGCTACAAAACAGACTTTAGAGCTATGTATTATGCATGTGTGTATGATCTCTCATTCAAAAGGGGAGGATCTTATGCTGAGGCCGCAGTACCCCATAACTCCTTCAAACCTCTCGTATGCAGACTGGATCAGCAAGTATCCTCCCCTATGTAAGTACATACGCAATAGGTCACTACGAACACAATTAAGTTTTAGGGGCTCAGTGTATGACATTTAAGGCATTTTCTGGCTCAGTTTATGGCTCAGTGTATGTCAGTACAAGTGCACAAAAACACAGCATTCCTTCATTGTGTGTGTGAAGCATACCAGAGTGTAAGGGGCATACCCTAGACCACAGTCTGCCTAATGCGCTGGTTTCTCTGCTTCTTCCTCTGTCATCCCTTGGTACATGATGTACAGAAAATCTTGTGCTATGTTTGTGGGTTTTCTGTATATAATAACAAAGTAATCCCAAGGTAAATGGGTTTGACAATGGCAGGCAAAATTCATTGAAGGCAACCATGTGTTGTGCATTAGACCTCCTCTGTTAACTGTTCCATGGGTTGACAGTTGTAGTACTTATATATACTTGTGTATATACTATAGCTATGTATAAATGTATATGTACAGTCGGATGGGTTGACAGTGGAGCTCCCACTAAACATCCACCTGCTAACACTGGAGAGACTAGACCACACCCACCATCTACTGAGGCTGGAACATCAGTACCCTATCGATGAAGCCCCTCTCAACACCACCGCCAATGTTACTCTGGAGGTGAGCCTTTTCCTTGATATCTTATCTCTCTCTCTCTCTCTCTCTCTTTTCACCACCTTTTTAAACTCACTGGTACCGTGCATGGATCCAATTTAACATCATTAAAGGGTATGGTATATAAGTTGGATAATCTGCACACAGTATATATGTAAAGGTGTAGGAAAGATGTGGTTTTTTTGGTGTGTGCTATAATAATGTACGTAACCCTTTCTCTTTGCTCCTATCATTATACACAGAGATTATTGTGGCAACTAGATTTAGAAACTGCTACTGAAAATTGAAGCCTAATTGCTGTCTTGCACTGGGCCCTATTGATTAGGTCCATCTGTCCAAAATTGGCCCTTATGTACTGCCATAATGTGAGGTCCACATTTTCAGCATTTCAACAGTCTCTCTCTCTGTATGTATGTATGTAGGAGTTGTTCCAGGAGATGAAGGTGGTGGAGGCAGTAGAGCTGGGACTGGGAGGCAACGCCCTTCTATCTGACATACACAGACTCCACTGGAACACCGCCTCCTCAAGGACAGGTACGTTTTTTCCAGTACAACTTCTGAACAAGGGACACTATGGGGCCAATGGTTTTGTCCTTTTAGAGAGGCTGTCCCTATCTCAGAGGTCAAATAACACACTAAAGCAAACAGAAAGCGAGAGACCTGAACCATTGAACATATAATAAACGAACCCACAAAATGTGGTCACTTTAGCAGGAAATTCCAGTTAGCTATGGCCTCCCCTTCGGAGTGCATCTGTTGTCTTTGAATTTGTAGGCTACTGTATTTTTGCTGTTTGTACACTTGGCATGCCTGTAGGTGGAGGAAGAAGGCCAACAGAGAAGCTGTCTCCTCCGTTCACCATTGTGCTAAAGCCAATGGAAATCCGCACCTTCAACATCACCGTTACCTACTACTGATGACTTTCACTGTCAGTATTGTGGTTATTGGAACTTTGTAGTGACTGAACTTTGTAAAAACCCTGTATACATGTCTGCATGGTATAGTAATGAGATTTTAGTATGTTTGTTGTCCATCTAGTAGAGAAATGCGATTTGTTGTCCATCTAGTAGAGAAATGCTTCGAGTACGAGTTTCGTAAAACTGAAATGCGTCACGTAGAAATTCTGTCAAGTAGAGTTTGTAGCATAGTGCATAATACAGACTAGGATTTTTCGCTAGTAAGAGCACAAACAAACGTCCCCCTATTAGGCGTAAAATCACCACATCTGAACATAGTCTTGTGTAGCCATGATCCAAAAGAGAGAGGGTCTGGTCTCTCTCCGTTTACGTGAGGGGTGTGGCTACGCAGTTATGTAATGTTTTACTAACACAGTTAGTAGTGTGTGGGTGGATGGAGTGGTGACATGATCTGGGCAAAACTATTGTAGTGCAGACTATAATAATCCTAAAATGCTGAGTTGTGTCGTGTCAAAGTTGCCACACACACACACTCTTTTTCTGTATATAGGGGTGAGCCAGTCTGCCAGTAAGCCTCCTGACAGCAGCAGCCGTCCTGGCTTTAGAATGGAAATCGCGCATCGAAATTCACTACATTTTTCTGCATGCAGCTGAATGAATAACGCACACAGGAAGTGTTTACTCTATGCCATTACACAGGAACACTATCTTAGAAAAAGCATCTCTTATGCCTTACTATATAGAGGCAAAGTTCTCGGGAGTGTCCTGCTGTGAGCTGCCAAACAAAGCTGGTTCTTCAGCTGTTGCCACACGAATGTAGTTCCTCTTTGTTGCTCTGTACTTACTGCATGAGAGAGAGAAATATACTGTTACCCAACCTCAAACCATGCGAAGGTGTAACGTACTGGAACGACTAAAGGTGGCAAGAGATCCATTACATTCATTACTCATTCAAATAATGAATGTAACTAGCTACTAACTGTGGTTAGTAATTTTTGGAAGGTGAGGTTCCCTAGTTCTATACTAAATTCACAGTGTGACGGTGATAAACAGAGCCAGGAATACTAGTGCCATCAGACAGGCCACTCCCAGTAGAGCACCAACTGCAGCCAACGGACCCTTCGACCTTCTCACTCACAGTTTGACCTGCAGTTGAAACAGACACATGATCTGACTATTATATCAGCATTCAAAGGGTGAGAAGAATGATAGAGATGAGGAGACAATAATTATTTGTAGTTCCGAACCTGGGATTATATTAGGGTCAGGAAGTCCTCGGTAGTATAGTGGTAAGTATCTCCGCCTGTCACGCGGAAGACCCGGGTTCGATTCCCGGCCGGGGAGTCCTTTTTTCTGTGTTAAGTTTTTTTTCTGTTTTACTCTTTTCCACTGCAACTGTATACAAAATATTTATAGTTCGTTTTTTGTTTTCAGCTGATACCAATTTCTGAAGGGACCAAGAATGCTCGTGGTAACCGTGGAGAGGCATTATACGACCTCCTGTTTCCGGGGTTACTGCGTCCCTTGGGTTCAGACTTGTTCCTCGTTCGTCCGACTAAAAGTGGGCGTGGCACATCCACGGTGAAGTCGAGGGAGTATGTGCCAGAACCAGGTGCTGACTTCACTATTGATAATGGGGTAAGGATGTATACATTGGTCAACCATTATACTACATGGCATTGTCCATGAATTTCAATTGGAATAGTGAATGTGGAATGCACACGTGCTTGCTCCAATGAATAATGAAAATCTCCACTCCAATGAATACTTCTTACATACCTAGTGCATGTAATGAATTTTGTATAAAACCTTTTACCTATCCACCGTTTTGTGTCCTATGAAAGCCAATAGAAGTTACTTGGTGCATATGCTTACAATTCAGACCTAGAAGGAATATTGTATACATAGCTGTGTCCTGTTTTACCTGCTTAATATACGGAAATTGCTAACTGCAGGTGATGACCCTAACGTTCAGTGGAGCAACTGGACGACTGATGATGATGGAAAACAAAGTCAGCAAAGTCTCTGCGAAAGTGGACCAGAACTTCCTGTTACTCTTACTACAACTACTTACTAATCAGGGAAAATGTGCCAGAGCCCATGCAAAGCGGCAGCTTATACAACCCCTACACTGGAAGAAGAGAAATATTTGCATCATAACACAAAAGCCACTCATATGGATAATTGCTATAGAGCGTTCAGTACATTGGTCATACTATAAGAGAATGGCATACATACCTGTCCAGATGCTATCCACACTACCAACTTGTGCTTATAAACTCTTACTATAATATACAACTCGCACAACTAGCAAGAAAAAGTGCACTTATATACAACCCCTACCCCGGAAGCAGTTAGAGAAATATTTCTGTCATAACATAAAAGCCACTCATATGGATAAATATCCCATGGCTTTAGAAGGTATACCGGGAATATACCCGAGGTGCCAATAGCTACAGAGCGCTCAGTACATTGGTCATACTATAAGAGAATATTCATCCTCTAGTAAGACGGTGGATAGTTTCTATGGCATACATACCTGTCCAGATGGGGGTTCCACAGCTACCTCGGATGATGTAGAGGTGTCTTGATCTGAAAACCAACACACACAAATGTTAGTAAGTAATGCATACCCATGTCTTAGTGTTGTGGTGCATTTGCAATATCTACACACACAAATCCCCATAGGAAGCATGATGTGGATTGCTGGAGCGTTTCATTACGTCTGATATTTCAATCAGAGTGACACACACAATCAAAAATGAATTTTTCGGAAACATGCTCTTTGAATTGTAATTATGCGGGGCACAGTTTAACTTGTTCACACAGAAGAGGTGGTAGGAAATAGTATTACACCGCAGGGCAGGAAATTAAGCATTTGTGTAATTTGTGCATACATGTGACTTCAATTCAGACAATTCCCCATCCCTTCTCCCTCTCTCTCTCTCTCCTGTTTCACTCTTTTCTCTCTCACTTGCCTCTTCACTTCCTTCACCGCTCGTCTCCCTCCCCCAGGGATGGGTTGGGTAAAGAGATCATCAGCAGGTTCACTACTGACCTCAACACAAAGTCAAAGTTTTACACTGACTCCAACGGTCGTCAGATGTTGGAGAGAGTGTAGGTTCATCAGTTCTTGTAATGCAAGGCAACTGCCAAGTCAGTGGCAAAAGTCTATTCCATACTAGCTCAGTATATAGGCATTGTTTTAAGTCTGCAGAGTTACACTCCATTATGTGACACAGAAACCTGTAACTTTATGCATGGTCTTGCAATTGCAGCTGGACAGATTGTATTACCAGTAGTTAACCAATGATGAAACTCTCTTATTTTCCTTCGTCCCTGCAATCAGGACTAGAAAACTTGTGTATACATACTGTATATACAACGTCCCTTTTATGATGTTGTCGTTCCTGTCCAGTCGAAATTACCGACCAACGTGGAAGTACAATAACACAGAGCCAGTCACCGGCAACTACTACCCCGTGGACAGCCGCATCTTCATCAAGGTAGACTGGCTATATGATGATTTCACATTCGTAACGCACAATGTACTATGAGATCTGGTATACTTATCTGTAGGATGAGGATCGTGGGGTTCAATTCACGGTCATGAATGACAGAGCTCAGGGTGGGTCTTCCCTCAACGATGGACAACTGGAGCTCATGGTAGGATGCCCCTCTCTCTCTTTTGTCTCTCTCTCTTCTTCTCCTCCTATACTCCCCTTACTCCTTCTTTCTCCTCTTACTTTCTTTCTTCCCTTCCTTTCAATATTCTTCTCCTCTCCACCTTTTTAGTAAAGGAGAAGCAGACAAACACTTTTAGTTTTTCTTCCTTCTTCTTTCTTCTCTTCCTCTGTAATGCTAACCTCTGATTTTTCATTGTCTTTTCTCCTCCCCCAGGTCCATCGTAGGACTCTCTACGATGATTCCCGAGGCGTGGGAGAGCCACTGAACGAGACAGGTCAGACCGGAGAAGGTCTGATCATCACTGGCGTCCACGTTGCCATTCTCGACAACTTCGTCAATTCTACCATCTACCACAGAATTATAGGTGAACAATATTCTCCATAATAATAATGCAGGAAACTTGCGAGGTTCATAAAACTTTCATAAATTTCATGAGCAATCAGTGAAAAAATTGTGGGTTGGTATCGGATGGCAAAAATGTTTCTGAACATTCCCATACACAGACTGATGAACGTTTTCTACTTAAATGCTATAATTATCAATGCAGCAAAAATGTTGCGCAATCAAGTATTACTTTCTACATAACATCTCATCCATATGCACACACCCTGGCAAATAGCACCATACAGTAAAATTGTTAGGAGGCTGACCTACATACGTAATGCTGCAATACAGACCGGTAGAATTGATGACCAGTTAGGAGGCTAATTGCTACAAAACAGACTTTAGAGCTATGTATTATGCATGTGTGTATGATCTCTCATTCAAAAGGGGAGGATCTTATGCTGAGGCCGCAGTACCCCATAACTCCTTCAAACCTCTCGTATGCAGACTGGATCAGCAAGTATCCTCCCTATGTAAGTACATACGCAATAGGTCACTACGAACACAATTAAGTTTTAGGGGCTCAGTGTATGACATTTAAGGCATTTTCTGGCTCAGTTTATGGCTCAGTGTATGTCAGTACAAGTGCACAAAAACACAGCATTCCTTCATTGTGTGTGTGAAGCATACCAGAGTGTAAGGGGCATACCCTAGACCACAGTCTGCCTAATGCGCTGGTTTCTCTGCTTCTTCCTCTGTCATCCCTTGGTACATGATGTACAGAAAATCTTGTGCTATGTTTGTGGGTTTTCTGTATATAATAACAAAGTAATCCCAAGGTAAATGGGTTTGACAATGGCAGGCAAAATTCATTGAAGGCAACCATGTGTTGTGCATTAGACCTCCTCTGTTAACTGTTCCATGGTTGACAGTTGTAGTACTTATATATACTTGTGTATATACTATAGCTATGTATAAATGTATATGTACAGTCGGATGGGTTGACAGTGGAGCTCCCACTAAACATCCACCTGCTAACACTGGAGAGACTAGACCACACCCACCATCTACTGAGGCTGGAACATCAGTACCCTATCGATGAAGCCCCTCTCAACACCACCGCCAATGTTACTCTGGAGGTGAGCCTTTTCCTTGATATCTTATCTCTCTCTCTCTCTCTCTCTCTTTTCACCACCTTTTTAAACTCACTGGTACCGTGCATGGATCCAATTTAACATCATTAAAGGGTATGGTATATAAGTTGGATAATCTGCACACAGTATATATGTAAAGGTGTAGGAAAGATGTGGTTTTTTTGGTGTGTGCTATAATAATGTACGTAACCCTTTCTCTTTGCTCCTATCATTATACACAGAGATTATTGTGGCAACTAGATTTAGAAACTGCTACTGAAAATTGAAGCCTAATTGCTGTCTTGCACTGGGCCCTATTGATTAGGTCCATCTGTCCAAAATTGGCCCTTATGTACTGCCATAATGTGAGGTCCACATTTTCAGCATTTCAACAGTCTCTCTCTCTGTATGTATGTATGTAGGAGTTGTTCCAGGAGATGAAGGTGGTGGAGGCAGTAGAGCTGGGACTGGGAGGCAACGCCCTTCTATCTGACATACACAGACTCCACTGGAACACCGCCTCCTCAAGGACAGGTACGTTTTTTCCAGTACAACTTCTGACCAAGGGACACTATGGGGCCAATGGTTTTGTCCTTTTAGAGAGGCTGTCCCTATCTCAGAGGTCAAATAACACACTAAAGCAAACAGAAAGCGAGAGACCTGAACCATTGAACATATAATAAACGAACCCACAAAATGTGGTCACTTTAGCAGGAAATTCCAGTTAGCTATGGCCTCCCCTTCGGAGTGCATCTGTTGTCTTTGAATTTGTAGGCTACTGTATTTTTGCTGTTTGTACACTTGGCATGCCTGTAGGTGGAGGAAGAAGGCCAACAGAGAAGCTGTCTCCTCCCGTTCACCATTGTGCTAAAGCCAATGGAAATCCGCACCTTCAACATCACCGTTACCTACTACTGATGACTTTCACTGTCAGTATTGTGGTTATTGGAACTTTGTAGTGACTGAACTTTGTAAAAACCCTGTATACATGTCTGCATGGTATAGTAATGAGATTTTAGTATGTTTGTTGTCCATCTAGTAGAGAAATGCGATTTGTTGTCCATCTAGTAGAGAAATGCTTCGAGTACGAGTTTCGTAAAACTGAAATGCGTCACGTAGAAATTCTGTCAAGTAGAGTTTGTAGCATAGTGCATAATACAGACTAGGATTTTTCGCTAGTAAGAGCACAAACAAACGTCCCCCTATTAGGCGTAAAATCACCACATCTGAACATAGTCTTGTGTAGCCATGATCCAAAAGAGAGAGGGTCTGGTCTCTCTCCGTTTACGTGAGGGGTGTGGCTACGCAGTTATGTAATGTTTTACTAACACAGTTAGTAGTGTGTGGGTGGATGGAGTGGTGACATGATCTGGGCAAAACTATTGTAGTGCAGACTATAATAATCCTAAAATGCTGAGTTGTGTCGTGTCAAAGTTGCCACACACACACACTCTTTTTCTGTATATAGGGGTGAGCCAGTCTGCCAGTAAGCCTCCTGACAGCAGCAGCCGTCCTGGCTTTAGAATGGAAATCGCGCATCGAAATTCACTACATTTTTCTGCATGCAGCTGAATGAATAACGCACACAGGAAGTGTTTACTCTATGCCATTACACAGGAACACTATCTTAGAAAAAGCATCTCTTATGCCTTACTATATAGAGGCAAAGTTCTCGGGAGTGTCCTGCTGTGAGCTGCCAAACAAAGCTGGTTCTTCAGCTGTTGCCACACGAATGTAGTTCCTCTTTGTTGCTCTGTACTTACTGCATGAGAGAGAGAAATATACTGTTACCCAACCTCAAACCATGCGAAGGTGTAACGTACTGGAACGACTAAAGGTGGCAAGAGATCCATTACATTCATTACTCATTCAAATAATGAATGTAACTAGCTACTAACTGTGGTTAGTAATTTTTGGAAGGTGAGGTTCCCTAGTTCTATACTAAATTCACAGTGTGACGGTGATAAACAGAGCCAGGAATACTAGTGCCATCAGACAGGCCACTCCCAGTAGAGCACCAACTGCAGCCAACGGACCCTTCGACCTTCTCACTCACAGTTTGACCTGCAGTTGAAACAGACACATGATCTGACTATTATATCAGCATTCAAAGGGTGAGAAGAATGATAGAGATGAGGAGACAATAATTATTTGTAGTTCCGAACCTGGGATTATATTAGGGTCAGGAAGTCCTCGGTAGTATAGTGGTAAGTATCTCCGCCTGTCACGCGGAAGACCCGGGTTCGATTCCCGGCCGGGGAGTCCTTTTTTCTGTGTTAAGTTTTTTTTCTGTTTTACTCTTTTCCACTGCAACTGTATACAAAATATTTATAGTTCGTTTTTTGTTTTCAGCTGATACCAATTTCTGAAGGGACCAAGAATGCTCGTGGTAACCGTGGAGAGGCATTATACGACCTCCTGTTTCCGGGGTTACTGCGTCCCTTGGGTTCAGACTTGTTCCTCGTTCGTCCGACTAAAAGTGGGCGTGGCACATCCACGGTGAAGTCGAGGGAGTATGTGCCAGAACCAGGTGCTGACTTCACTATTGATAATGGGGTAAGGATGTATACATTGGTCAACCATTATACTACATGGCATTGTCCATGAATTTCAATTGGAATAGTGAATGTGGAATGCACACGTGCTTGCTCCAATGAATAATGAAAATCTCCACTCCAATGAATACTTCTTACATACCTAGTGCATGTAATGAATTTTGTATAAAACCTTTTACCTATCCACCGTTTTGTGTCCTATGAAAGCCAATAGAAGTTACTTGGTGCATATGCTTACAATTCAGACCTAGAAGGAATATTGTATACATAGCTGTGTCCTGTTTTACCTGCTTAATATACGGAAATTGCTAACTGCAGGTGATGACCCTAACGTTCAGTGGAGCAACTGGACGACTGATGATGATGGAAAACAAAGTCAGCAAAGTCTCTGCGAAAGTGGACCAGAACTTCCTGTTACTCTTACTACAACTACTTACTAATCAGGGAAAATGTGCCAGAGCCCATGCAAAGCGGCAGCTTATACAACCCCTACACTGGAAGAAGAGAAATATTTGCATCATAACACAAAAGCCACTCATATGGATAATTGCTATAGAGCGTTCAGTACATTGGTCATACTATAAGAGAATGGCATACATACCTGTCCAGATGCTATCCACACTACCAACTTGTGCTTATAAACTCTTACTATAATATACAACTCGCACAACTAGCAAGAAAAAGTGCACTTATATACAACCCCTACCCCGGAAGCAGTTAGAGAAATATTTCTGTCATAACATAAAAGCCACTCATATGGATAAATATCCCATGGCTTTAGAAGGTATACCGGGAATATACCCGAGGTGCCAATAGCTACAGAGCGCTCAGTACATTGGTCATACTATAAGAGAATATTCATCCTCTAGTAAGACGGTGGATAGTTTCTATGGCATACATACCTGTCCAGATGGGGGTTCCACAGCTACCTCGGATGATGTAGAGGTGTCTTGATCTGAAAACCAACACACACAAATGTTAGTAAGTAATGCATACCCATGTCTTAGTGTTGTGGTGCATTTGCAATATCTACACACACAAATCCCCATAGGAAGCATGATGTGGATTGCTGGAGCGTTTCATTACGTCTGATATTTCAATCAGAGTGACACACACAATCAAAAATGAATTTTTCGGAAACATGCTCTTTGAATTGTAATTATGCGGGGCACAGTTTAACTTGTTCACACAGAAGAGGTGGTAGGAAATAGTATTACACCGCAGGGCAGGAAATTAAGCATTTGTGTAATTTGTGCATACATGTGACTTCAATTCAGACAATTCCCCATCCCTTCTCCCTCTCTCTCTCTCTCCTGTTTCACTCTTTTCTCTCTCACTTGCCTCTTCACTTCCTTCACCGCTCGTCTCCCTCCCCCAGGGATGGGTTGGGTAAAGAGATCATCAGCAGGTTCACTACTGACCTCAACACAAAGTCAAAGTTTTACACTGACTCCAACGGTCGTCAGATGTTGGAGAGAGTGTAGGTTCATCAGTTCTTGTAATGCAAGGCAACTGCCAAGTCAGTGGCAAAAGTCTATTCCATACTAGCTCAGTATATAGGCATTGTTTTAAGTCTGCAGAGTTACACTCCATTATGTGACACAGAAACCTGTAACTTTATGCATGGTCTTGCAATTGAAGCTGGGCAGATTGTATTACCAGTAGTTAACCAATGATGAAACTCTCTTATTTTCCTTCGTCCCTGCAATCAGGACTAGAAAACTTGTGTATACATACTGTATATACAACGTCCCTTTTATGATGTTGTCATTCCTGTCCAGTCGAAATTACCGACCGACGTGGAAGTACAATAACACAGAGCCAGTCACCGGCAACTACTACCCCGTGGACAGCCGCATCTTCATCAAGGTAGACTGGCTATATGATGATTTCACATTCGTAACGCACAATGTACTATGAGATCTGGTATACTTATCTGTAGGATGAGGATCGTGGGGTTCAATTCACGGTCATGAATGACAGAGCTCAGGGTGGGTCTTCCCTCAACGATGGACAACTGGAGCTCATGGTAGGATGCCCCTCTCTCTCTTTTGTCTCTCTCTCTTCTTCTCCTCCTATACTCCCCTTACTCCTTCTTTCTCCTCTTACTTTCTTTCTTCCCTTCCTTTCAATATTCTTCTCCTCTCCACCTTTTTAGTAAAGGAGAAGCAGACAAACACTTTTAGTTTTTCTTCCTTCTTCTTTCTTCTCTTCCTCTGTAATGCTAACCTCTGATTTTTCATTGTCTTTTCTCCTCCCCCAGGTCCATCGTAGGACTCTCTACGATGATTCCCGAGGCGTGGGAGAGCCACTGAACGAGACAGGTCAGACCGGAGAAGGTCTGATCATCACTGGCGTCCACGTTGCCATTCTCGACAACTTCGTCAATTCTACCATCTACCACAGAATTATAGGTGAACAATATTCTCCATAATAATAATGCAGGAAACTTGCGAGGTTCATAAAACTTTCATAAATTTCATGAGCAATCAGTGAAAAAATTGTGGGTTGGTATCGGATGGCAAAAATGTTTCTGAACATTCCCATACACAGACTGATGAACGTTTTCTACTTAAATGCTATAATTATCAATGCAGCAAAAATGTTGCGCAATCAAGTATTACTTTCTACATAACATCTCATCCATATGCACACACCCTGGCAAATAGCACCATACAGTAAAATTGTTAGGAGGCTGACCTACATACGTAATGCTGCAATACAGACCGGTAGAATTGATGACCAGTTAGGAGGCTAATTGCTACAAAACAGACTTTAGAGCTATGTATTATGCATGTGTGTATGATCTCTCATTCAAAAGGGGAGGATCTTATGCTGAGGCCGCAGTACCCCATAACTCCTTCAAACCTCTCGTATGCAGACTGGATCAGCAAGTATCCTCCCTATGTAAGTACATACGCAATAGGTCACTACGAACACAATTAAGTTTTAGGGGCTCAGTGTATGACATTTAAGGCATTTTCTGGCTCAGTTTATGGCTCAGTGTATGTCAGTACAAGTGCACAAAAACACAGCATTCCTTCATTGTGTGTGTGAAGCATACCAGAGTGTAAGGGGCATACCCTAGACCACAGTCTGCCTAATGCGCTGGTTTCTCTGCTTCTTCCTCTGTCATCCCTTGGTACATGATGTACAGAAAATCTTGTGCTATGTTTGTGGGTTTTCTGTATATAATAACAAAGTAATCCCAAGGTAAATGGGTTTGACAATGGCAGGCAAAATTCATTGAAGGCAACCATGTGTTGTGCATTAGACCTCCTCTGTTAACTGTTCCATGGGTTGACAGTTGTAGTACTTATATATACTTGTGTATATACTATAGCTATGTATAAATGTATATGTACAGTCGGATGGGTTGACAGTGGAGCTCCCACTAAACATCCACCTGCTAACACTGGAGAGACTAGACCACACCCACCATCTACTGAGGCTGGAACATCAGTACCCTATCGATGAAGCCCCTCTCAACACCACCGCCAATGTTACTCTGGAGGTGAGCCTTTTCCTTGATATCTTATCTCTCTCTCTCTCTCTCTCTCTTTTCACCACCTTTTTAAACTCACTGGTACCGTGCATGGATCCAATTTAACATCATTAAAGGGTATGGTATATAAGTTGGATAATCTGCACACAGTATATATGTAAAGGTGTAGGAAAGATGTGGTTTTTTTGGTGTGTGCTATAATAATGTACGTAACCCTTTCTCTTTGCTCCTATCATTATACACAGAGATTATTGTGGCAACTAGATTTAGAAACTGCTACTGAAAATTGAAGCCTAATTGCTGTCTTGCACTGGGCCCTATTGATTAGGTCCATCTGTCCAAAATTGGCCCTTATGTACTGCCATAATGTGAGGTCCACATTTTCAGCATTTCAACAGTCTCTCTCTCTGTATGTATGTATGTAGGAGTTGTTCCAGGAGATGAAGGTGGTGGAGGCAGTAGAGCTGGGACTGGGAGGCAACGCCCTTCTATCTGACATACACAGACTCCACTGGAACACCGCCTCCTCAAGGACAGGTACGTTTTTTCCAGTACAACTTCTGAACAAGGGACACTATGGGGCCAATGGTTTTGTCCTTTTAGAGAGGCTGTCCCTATCTCAGAGGTCAAATAACACACTAAAGCAAACAGAAAGCGAGAGACCTGAACCATTGAACATATAATAAACGAACCCACAAAATGTGGTCACTTTAGCAGGAAATTCCAGTTAGCTATGGCCTCCCCTTCGGAGTGCATCTGTTGTCTTTGAATTTGTAGGCTACTGTATTTTTGCTGTTTGTACACTTGGCATGCCTGTAGGTGGAGGAAGAAGGCCAACAGAGAAGCTGTCTCCTCCGTTCACCATTGTGCTAAAGCCAATGGAAATCCGCACCTTCAACATCACCGTTACCTACTACTGATGACTTTCACTGTCAGTATTGTGGTTATTGGAACTTTGTAGTGACTGAACTTTGTAAAAACCCTGTATACATGTCTGCATGGTATAGTAATGAGATTTTAGTATGTTTGTTGTCCATCTAGTAGAGAAATGCGATTTGTTGTCCATCTAGTAGAGAAATGCGTCGAGTACGAGTTTCGTAAAACTGAAATGCGTCACGTAGAAATTCTGTCAAGTAAACGGAGAGACCTGACCCTCTCTTTTAGGGAGAGGGGATCATGGCTACGCAAGACTACGTTCAGATGTGGTGATTTTACACCTAATGGGGGGACGTTTGGTTTAATGCATCAACTATACCGTTTACTGTGCTCTTACTAGCGAAAAATCCTAGTGAATCGTGCTGGTGCTGTGGTGGGCATCATGCGCGTTGTGCAAACCACCGCGGGTATTATACGCGATACATCCGTAGGTTATTCCAGTGCACCCATAAAAACGGGGAGTTTTTCAGTTAGTACCTGGTCGTGTATGCAATAGTAGCCTGTAGAAATTTCTTGCTCCTGATCCAGCACTGCAACTCCAATGCGCTGTTCAATCGTCCTCATCATCTTTCTGCCGTTGCTGCTTCCCGCGCAGGATCCTGAGCGAATGGGACACAGGGCGTTTGCCAGTTGTTGCAACGCAAACCGTCTTCAGCCCCCGGCCCGGCTGAGGCGGCGATGGAGAGTACGCAGACTGCGGAGGCAACCGACTTTCATTCTGCAGCTTGCTGGATGTCGTCGGCTCTGGGCCGCAACGACGGAGGCCGCGTGCGATGCAAGAAGAAGGCGATCCGAGCCCCAGCTGAGATGTGGTGCAACGCTCGAGCCTGCCTCCCATCTGTCGACCGATCCCAGCCCGCGAGCAGAGTCCTGCGATGGACGGCCGCTCTCGCAGCAACCTGGTGCCCGAGCAAGGAAGCAACCGAGTCCAGGAAGTAGTTGACTGCTGCACATGCAAAGCGATGGAGGAGCAGCGCGGTCCTAACCGAGCCCAGATCGTGGTGGGACTCTGCAACTGGGTTTTTCCAGAACCTCGTAATACGATGCAAGAGCAAGGAGACCCAAACCCTGCTCAACTGGTCAAATGATGAACTTTTTGTTTAACCACATAGCTATACTTTCAATGTTGATGTGCAAAATTGATTTATCTCTGTAAAATTACTATTAAAATGTAATGGTCTGCTAAAATAATGTTAAAGTTGAATCCCATGAAGTTGTACGACAACGGACTGTGTGGTGCAAATGTTGCTATGGCAGCACTCATTTTGCATGTAGTGTGTCACGTTTGGCAAAAGAACCATCATTCCCATAATTATGTCGAGCCTATATACAACAATCTTGGGGCAGAATGCACTGAATAAGATATTCATGATCTGTGCATGATTAGGCTTACACAACCACATTATTATATAAACGACATAGGTAAAATTTGGAGTTCAAAACTAGTCATGTATATAAACAGTTAGTGGTGTGAGTGGAGGGAAAACATACTCAAATCTGTATGCGGAGTGAAATGTGATCGTCACTCTGTAACTGACCACTGTTAGGGTATGAGTGGTTTGTCATCTTCTTCTTCTTCACCTGCCACTGAGGGGGGGCGGGAAATTAACCAGTATGAATTAATGAGAAGTCATAAAATTCACTGTGTTTCCTGCATGCAGCTCCAGGTGATTTAGCTGGTAATTGATGCAGTAGTTGAACCGGGGGTGTTTTATGGACATGACTGAATAAGGCTCAGGTATTATATTTGCTAACACAACACAGTCAGAAATTCACTACATTTATGCATACAGCTCCAGTAGGCGATTTAACGCACACAGGAAGGCTCATGTTTACTCTATGCCATTACACACATACAGTATCTTATAATAAGCATCTCTTGTCTTACTAGAGGCAAGGTTTTGGGCAGTGTCTTGCTGTGAGCTGCCAAACAAAGCTGGTTCTTCAGCTGTTGCAACACGAATGTAGTTCCTTGTTGTTGCTCTGTACTTACTGCATGAGAGAGAGAGAGAGAGACAGTTTTACCCATTGCCTATTAACCTCAGGTCATGCAAAAATGGGTAAGCCAATGATGCAGGGCACAAACATACATTTCTTGGCATGTCTATGTAATACAGTGGGTCCCTCTTAATATCATAAGAATATCCCGTTTATTATCATACAAACCTGAAATCCAAAACCATTTCCTATGCTAACCCATACATTACACTCCGTTCTATAGAATAAATTATAGATAATATCATATACCGTAGAAAAATTGGGGTTCTCAGCCTCTCCACCTGGCTTCAATTAGCTTATGTAAACAGCTAGGCTAGCTTCAATAAACTGCTATCTGGATCGAAGTACACGTCCCGCAGTATACACAGTATACACACCCGCATTGTAGAATATCCCGCATGTTACCATATAATTATTTTGGATGCACCCTGGGTATGATATTATATTTTGGATGCACCGTGGGTATGATATTAACCGGGACCCACTGTAATTACATAAACATGCTAAGGACTCGGTGGTTCAGTAACTGTTGGTTCACATGTTAACTACTTTGTTGCAAGCTGAGGTTACATACATAAACTCACAGTGTGACGGTGATAAACATAGCCAGGAACACTAGCGCCATCAGACAAGCCACTCCCAGTAGAGCACCAACTGCAGCCAACGGACCCTTCGATGATACCTTCTCACTCACAGTTTGACCTGCAGTTAGTGAGGTAAAGGAGGGCAGAAGAAACAGACACATGATCTGACTATTATATCAGCATTCAAAGGGTGAGAAGAATGATAGAGATAAGAGATAAGGAGACAATATTTGTACATGCCATTTGACCAAATTCCCTGCTTATGCAACTTTGAATAAACAGGGAATTGCATGGAGTATATAGGAGAGGTATAATTATAGTTCGAGTGAGTATGTGTCAACTGCATGCTCCCTTGCTTGTATGGGGGGAGCTAGAAATGGTGCTAGATGAGAGGAGGTGATGGAGGATGCATTAACCCACCAGGTTGATTGGGGGGAGGGAAGAAAGGTGGGAGGGTGTCATCGCCACAGCACGGAGCATCAAAACGCTGGAATAATTTCTCCTCTCCTCCGGTGCACACGTCTCCCGCTATCTTCCGATATCTGTTCATCGTGTGGGGAATGGGCAACGTGGGGTGTCCAAGCAATGATTAGTGTGTGTGTGAAATCTGCCCACTAAACTACCCCCCCATGCACTACCGCTGCCATGCCTGTGTATTGCATTTTTCCATGTGTCCCTGACTAAGGATGTTCATTGTCATCACTTGTGTGACATCAAGACCTTCACCAGATGCCCACAATGAATGTCATCAACTAAAACCAGACAGGACATAATATAAACTCAGTTTTGGAGAACAGCTATACCACACAGAGCAAGAGCTACACCTACACTACACTACACTACTATTCTAGAGCACACTCACCGCACACTCACCCAGTACTGGCCATGTAAGTATTACTACACATGCTATTCTAGAGCACACTCACCCAGTACTGGCCATGTAGGTCTTATTCTTTCCACCGGCACAGGGATTGGGCAGTTCAATGGCATAGTCTCTCATACAGGGAGCGTAGTAGTCATACATTGGTCGAGCAAACCCATAATCACTGGTGGGGGAAATGGTAGGCATCAGTATAATTATCATGACACATTTTTAGTCATGAAGCATGGATATTCTGTCAAGAAAGCTATGTACGTATAGTTCCAGTATTGTACATGATACCCATGCAATGAGGGTGTCAAAATCTTCCTAATCTGCTGCGATTTTTATCCATTGCAAGTGTATTGCCATTATTCATAATCTCTCTCTCTCTCATGTGGCTGTGGGTCACACTTCAAAAACACTCACCATACACATTCTTAATAAGCACAGCTACTCACCACTCGTAGTCCTCACTGGTACAGTCACAGATGTGGTAGTCAAACTCCCGGTCGTAGTCTCGTCCGTTGAGACAACAGATCTGAGGCTTTCGTCTCTCGATCGTGATGGAGCTCCCCAAAAGACACTGACTCTCTGTCCTCTGCAGTGACAAACAATACAGTTTGTTTGGACTATTACAGTAGGAATGTGTAGAGGGATGCTTTGCAATGAATGGGAGCACAATCAAAACTGAGCTCCCCAGAATACACATGCTCTGCGGGGACAATAATTTGGCATGAAGCTTTCTGCATGAGCAAACTTTGGCATGACTGGGAGCACAATGGAAGTATGTACATTTCTATTATCACACCCATACATCTGCATAAGAAACCTTTGTCGCATAGCTAAAGCAAAAGTTGAACCCTCAAGGAAGAAAAATAAACCTCAAGTCATAAAATTTTCCTTCCTCAATTTTTTTTCCTGCTGTACAGTACATTTACCTCGTCCCAAGGTCTCCAATCATAGTAGTCTTGGTCGTCACACTGGCGGGAGAAGATGTTAGCAAAATCCACGGTAATGACGGTCCACTTGAAATTGTCCCACGAGCCTCCGTAGAAACTCATGATAGTGGTGTGTTGGCCTGGCTCCGTGACCACACCATAGATCGTGATATCAGTCTGGGGAGGGACGGAATTGAGAAACTACATCAAAAGGTTGTGACCTGATCTGAGATAAGGGCCCTTATAAGTCATTTTTCACCGATATTGAGTTTTTAGGCTTATACTGCATGGAGCTTTCTTTTCTTTAGGGTGATATGTCAATGCTTGCTTGTGAGCACCAAAAAAAATCGGAAATGTTCCAGCTCAGAACGAGGATACTCTCGACATCTATGTATGATCCTGGCAACCCCATCAACAAGAGGATGAGCTGTCTAACGTGGTGTTGATGCTGTAGTTGGTTTAACGTTGCAATAAATCATAAACCAAAAGCATCCCGAGGGGCAATTACGTTAATAATACGCAACACATCTGCAACAGAAAAATACCTCGAGTTGTGGGACGGCCCACATCCACCCATTCTGACCACATCTGCTTACTATCTTCACACAACCTCGTGCCCGGTCATGAACTACGACCACTTATCACATTTCCCAAGCCATGAATGTCCGTAGCACAATCACATAGCTTTCCTCCAATACCTGATACTTCCAGTTTGACTAGGTAATTGCATCAAAGCATAGCAATATTGACTCCTGTTAAGATCCATGCAGGGATTCAAATGTGCATTTTATGTACGCAGGCAAAACAATACAGCACTGTCAATAATGAAAAGCACTAAAGTGCAAACCCTCTATTGCTTCATATGTAATACAGTGGAGTCTGCGTACGGAGCTGAAGGTGAAATCCCTCCAGCTGTAGCCCTCGTTGCAGCTGTACTTGAGGACCATGGACTGTTCCTGGTGGTAGTCTTTGGCGGCCACCATTAACCCTCCGTGATCTGCCAGGTTAACCCCCCAGCTCCCGGCGAGCGTCTGCTCCCACGTGACACCGCCGTCGCGAGAGATGAACAGATCTGGGTTGCTACTCAGTTCAATACCAATGGTACCTGGATAGAAAGAAGGAGAAGATCACGAAACTACCCATCATTCTGATACATGCTATGATGCTAAGTACATCTCTTGCTACTGTATAGACAGGCTTAATGCAGGTAGTGTGGGCAAACAAACAGAGTTGAAAGGAACACAAATTCTGGTGCACCCAATGAAGCCAAGATTTGTGTAGATTGTAGATTCAATTGAACAATGTCCATGCACACATGTTTGTGTTGTAATCACTTCAAGTTTCACCCTACCATGAGCCACAATAATCCCAGGGGCAGACTCGGTGGAGTAGACTCCCAATCTGGCGTAGTTGGTGGAGTCCATGTGGAGGTGGAGGGAGCAGTTTGGAGGCTCACAGTTTATTGTGTCCCATTTATATCTCGTCAGGAGGCAGTAACTGCAGGGGCACACCCGATGATTGGTAAGGTAACTTTTCCGAACATTTTGCGAACACAGTTGCCAGTGTGGCCACTATTACGAATATATTCATGAAAATAATATACTTCGGGGTTTCAGAGCTCTCTGAAATTGCGTCGTTTTGTGTCATGAACAAAATGCACTCACGCCTTCCCAGGATCCGCATTGTCCAGTGAGATGACGTTCTAATGGAGAGGCAGGCTCAGTCTGACGTGTCTTCTCCTTGTACTTGGAGCTCGCCTGATCGCCCTCGTGCTGCTGCTGACCGCTCGCTTGAGCCCATTGAGACCCTCAATCTACAAATTGATGAGGGGCAGAGAAAAAGAACTCCTTGAGCCTAGTGATTGCGTGAAGTGCATTTTGGAATGATGGCATGTGTGAGCAATTGGCATGTGTGAGTAATTGGCCTATTTTATGCTTAATGTTCGTAATACAGCTCCAGATCATGTTGTAGTCAATGTCAACGACAAGGTCTCGTAGAGAGAGGCTGTAGTAGACTCAGACTCATCCGACAGTAGAGAGTTGTAGAAACCTCCCGCGTGCTCCTATCACTAGAGCTGCACGTCGTTGATACGGACACTAGTAGCTGGAGAGGAGGGAGGGAGGGAGGGAGGGAGGAGGCATGTACACAGAACAGCGTATCCTGAATTGTAGTTGTACTAAATGTATAGCAATTGCTGAGACTACTTGTAGAACAGAGGATGGTACTTAGTTGCATTGCCTTACTGATGGCTATAATTAGCTAACATTATATCATCCTTTAGGGAAAAGCTATTCATACACCACGTACACATAAGTATACTAGCTATGCTGATGCAAACATACTTGCGATGTTCATCAGGTACTGGTATCATGGCCTCTTATTAACGGCCTGCGTCTGTCGCGCATGCAGACCAATGACCCGTCGTCTGTCCGCTGAGCACATATGTAGCGACGACCAACAGACATCGTGGTCTCTCGAGGTATGTTATCACTCGCTAGATCCCCGGTGTATCGGGTAGTCAGATCGAAGAGGTTGCCGTGTTTCATCCTCCATGTCAGACTTTGCGATTAGGGTCCCGCGGTCATGAAATAGCCCCTCTATGTCATCATCCCAGGCTGCATCACCTCCACGGCACCATAGTTTTTGTGCCCTTCTCCTATTTGGATGATAGTAACAGTGAGATGTGCCCCTCTGCGTCAGCTATCTACATAGCCACACCCTCTAAAATCACTGACGCGGAAAACATTTATCCGTTCGGAATTCATTTGTCCTATACTATCAGAGCACCTTCCCAAAACATGAGTGATAGTGATATCTAACATGCCTACACTGGTAGATGGAACGTTTTCTTGGACTTCTTCAGGTCCTTGCCATAGTCTCTATCAAGTACAGCTGCAGGAAAAAACGCATTTTATGTGGCTCAACGTAGTAACCCTAACTCCACATACAGTATCGATTTGACTCATTACTGTTCTCTGCCTGCCTGAACAGTCAAACCTTTAGTAAAATACCAAATTGGCAACTGAATTTTACACCCTTTGATCATGTGTAAAACAGGAGACTAAAAGTAAACCCAGTGGTATGTAGATATTAAACAGAGACATGAAACTAGGGCTATCTTCCCCACTGACTGTGTTTCTAGTGAATCTCTCATTAGATCCAGCCATCTCTAGTAGGATGGTAGACAACAGTTGTAGTAACGAGGGTCGGCAGGGTCGAGATCTACTGTAGTAACTGCGCTATTGGTCGTTGGAGTAGGATAGTTTGGACTCAGTAGAATGGACAAATATCAACTGTGTTTAGAGGAAAGAGAGGGAGGAAAAGAGGAAGGAGGAAGAGAGGGAGAAGGATGGGAGAAAAGAGATGGAGGAACAGAGGAAGAGACATACTACAGATACCAACCACAAGAACAACCCACATACCCACACAAGCCACCTAAATCCTAGTCATTCTCTATGTGCATGAAGATTGCCACTAAATAGACCTACAGGTATCTCACTCCAGTAGAAGTATGAAAGAGATGGCAATTGCCCACTTGTCCATGATGTTAGTGAAGGTACTGCCATAGTTAGTTGACCTGTCAGGAATTTTAAAAACATCTATGCGCACACATACAGTACCACATTGCCTTAGTTTCAGATTTCAGACTAAGAGCTCACACTAATTTGAGATATGCATGAGGTATCATGCATGTGTGGGATAATTGTCATGTGACAGGGCATAGTATCAACAGTAATTGGTGAAAGAAGGCACATAAATACATACATGCTGCATACAGAGTTAAAATATACCTGTACAGGTTGGAGCGATATGATATTCCATATCTCATCATAACTGAGCACACAATCACCTACAAATAAAACATTTTCCTTATCTGTGGTAACATAACAATGATCCGGTTCTGGCTATAGTTGTAGCCACTGAATAATTTTGATTCTCATCTCTCTCACTCCGTATATACTCGTACTTGACTGTGCCTCAGCATAGTAGATTTGCCGTACTGATTGCCGTCGTTGAACTGGTGCGTCCGTTCTATGTGCGGCAGTTGACCGCCTGCCTTTCCACATCTGGCGACAAAAGTACAATACCAACGACCCGAGTAAAACACATTGATAGATCCCGAAAGGTTAGTGTGCGGGTCAACACGGGGAGAAGGTCGGCTCAGCCTAGATGAGGGCGGTGCTGATCGAAGGCGAGGCGCGATGACGGGATGATCGTCGTGACACTTCGGCACTTCAATAATGGCTCCCAGCAGGACCGACTGGACTGGACAAAGAGCCAGAATACAGGCTAGCAGGAGAGACACACTGAAACTCAGCATGAGTGGACTGTGTGTCAGTACATGAGCTAGCACTCTAGAAACACTCGTTATTTAGCGCGATATGAGCAGACGCGTCCTGCCCTCCCGCACGCGCGCTCCCGCGCAATCTCACACCAACACCACCGACAGGCATCACACACGATCGCACAGTCCTATACGCATAGGGCAATAATCTGCGCGGCCAGCAGGGTGGCCGTGGCTCCATATATACCGTAGACAACAAGGGCGCACACGGATTGTAGTAGTCGATGCAGCTCAGGGACCCTCACCGTTAGTGCTTGCCATGACATCGGCATCTGGATCATGTTTTATCCACTCTTCATCCAGATTGTGAAGTAGCTGCTCCGCGGGTGTGTTAGCTCTTCTACGACGAACTCGACAATGACTTCAGCAGAATTTGACTAGGTGGATCGGACAACCACTGGTCAGTGTACTTGCCACAACACGACTCGGTCTGCAACTCTTTTATTTGCAGCTCCCTTTTACCGGCCAGTAGTGAGGAGCCGTGGACGAGACGACGACCGCGGTCAGCGGACACGGCGAACGTCGCGGAATGCGAGAACAGGAGACCCCGTGATAGCCGATGGAGTGTTGGGTGCCTCCGGGGACGCGGTGCGGGTCAACTGCACAGCCAGGTTGGCCAGCGGAAATCCTGAGCAGACGGGCCT